GTGTCACCTGTCCCTTTCCAGTGTCACTTGTCCCAGTGTCACCTGTCCCTGTGTCACCTGTCCCTGTGTCACCTGTCCCCTTCCTGTGTCACCTGTCCCCTTCCTGTGTCACCTGTCCCTGCCACCTGCAGTGTCCGGCTCCTTCCTTCTCTACACCAAGCCCCGTGGCCAAATCCTGGTGGCCACTTGGGCAGCTCCTGGTGGTCACTTGGGCAGCTCCTGGTGGTCACTTGGGCAGCTCCTGGTGGTCACTTGGGCAGCTCCTGGTGGTCACTTGGGCAGCTCCTGGTGGTCACTTGGGCAGCTCCTGGTGGTCACTTGGGCAGCTCCTGGTGGCCACCACCATGTCCCCAACCCTTCCCATGTCCCTGTCCCTTCATTGTCCCCCTGTCCCTGCAGTGTCCGGCTCCTTCCTGCTCTACAACCAGCACCACTCCAGCTGCGTGGTGGTCACTTGGGCACTTGGACTCATGGTGGCCACTGGGCAGCTCCTTGTGGCCACCACCATGTCCCCAACCCCTCCCATGTCCCTGTCCCCTCATTGTCCCCCTGTCCCCTCATTGTCCACCTCCTTTGTTCTCTACATTGGCCACTGCATGGCGGCCACTGGGCAGGTCCTGTTGGCCACTTGGGCAGCTTCTGGTGGCCCCTGGCCAAGTCCTGGTGGCCACCACCATGTCCCCAACCCTTCCCATGTCCCTGTCCCCTCATTGTCCCCCTGTCCCTGCAGTGTCCACCTCCTTCCTGCTCTACATTGGCCACTGCATGGCAGCCACTTGGGCAGCTCCTGGTGGCCACCATGTGTCCCCAACCCCTCCCATGTCCCTGTCCCCTCATTGTCTCCCCGTCCCTTCAGTGTCCGGCTCCTTCCTTCTCTACACCAAGCCCCGTGGCCAAATCCTGGTGGCCACTGGGCATGTCCTCAGTGGCCACTGGCCAACTCCTGGTGGCCACCACCATGTCCCCAAGCTCTCCCATGTCCCTGTCCCCTCATTGTCCCCCCGTCCCTGCAGTGTCCGGCTCCTTCCTTCTCTACATTGGCCACTGCATGGCGGCCACTGGGCAGCTCCTGGTGGCCCCTGGTCAACTCCTGGTGGCCACCACCATGTCCCCAACCCCTCCCATGTCCCTGTCCCCTCATTGTCCCCCTGTCCCCACAGCGTCCACCTCCTTCCTGCTCTACAACCAGCACCACTCCGGCTGCGTGGTGGCCGCCGGCCAGTGGCTCTCCCTGGCCCCCTGCGTCCCCTCGTCCCCGTCCCAACTCTTCCAGTGGCTCCCCGGGGGCCTCCTGCGCCACGCCGCCACCGGCTCGTGCGCCGAGGCCGCCGCGGAATCCGTGGGCGCGCTGGTGCGGCTGCGGCCGTGCCGGGAGGCGTCGCGGCTGCAGCGCTGGGCGTGCGGCCGCGGGGCTCTGCTGGCCCTGGCCGGCACCGCGCTGCACTTCAACTTCGGCCACGAGCGCCTCAAACGCGTCGTGCTCTACGACGGCGCCGGCAACTGGAGCCGCTGGCTGGCCCACGGCTCCGACCGCGACGTCTGCTCCAGGGCCTGTGAGTTGAAATTTCCCAAGTTTTCTCCGAGCTTGCCAGAATTTCCCCGATTTTCCCCAAGTTTTCCCCAATTTTCCCCAATTTTTTTCAAATTTTACCAATTTTTTTCCCAGTTTTCCCCAATTTTTTTCAAATTTTCACAATTTTTTCCCAATGTTTTCCCAATTTTTCCCCCATTTTCGCAATATTTTCCCAATTTTTTCAAATTTTCCCAATTGTTTTTCCCAATTTTCCCCAATTTTTCCCAAATTTTCGCAATATTTTCCCAATTATTTCAAATTTTCCCAATTGTTTTTCCCAATTTTCCCCAATTTTTCCCAATATTTTCCCAATATTTTCCCAATTTTTTTCAAATTTTCCTATTTTTTTCCCAATTTTCCCCAATTTGTTTCAAATTTTCCTAATTTTTTCCCAATTTTTTTGGGTTTTTCCCAATCCTGACCCAAATCTTTTGGGATTTTCCCAATCCTGACCCCAAATCTTTTGGGATTTTCCCAATCCTGACCCCAAATCTTTTGGGATTTTCCCAACCCTGACCCCAAATCTTTTGGGATTTTCCCAGATTTCCTGCCCTGCTCCCGGGGTTGGGTCTTTTCCCGCAATTCCTGTTATTTCTTCTCCAACTTCGCCGCTTCCTGGGAGAATTCCAGAACTTTCTGCTGGGCCTTGGGCTCGCAGCTGCTCGAGGTCGACGACGCCGAGGAGAAGGTGAGGCCCCAAATCCCAGAAATCCCCAAAAAAATCCCAAATTCCCCCGAAATCCAGTGAATATCAAAAATCCCATAAATGTCCCAAAGCCCCAAAGAATTCTGAAACCCCCACAATCCCATAAATCCCCCCAAAATTCCAAATTTCCCCTAAATCCCATAAATCTATAAATATGAAAAATCCCATAAATCCTGTAAATCCTATAAATGCCAAAAAAATCCCATAAATATCCCTAAATCCCATAAATCCCCAAAAATCCCAATTTCCCCTAAAATCCCATAAATCCTGTAAATATCAAAAATCCCATAAATTCCCCTCAAATTCCTCCTAAATCCTATAAATCCCAAAAAATCCCAATTTCCTCTAAATCCCATAAATCCTGTAAATATCAAAAATCCCATAAATTCCCCTCAAATTCCTCCTAAATCCTATAAATCCCATAAAAATCATTTTTGGGGCCAGTTGGTCCCAGAATTTGTAAATATCAAAAATCCCATAAAACCCCATAAAAATCCCAAATTTTCCCTAAATCCCATTGATCCTGAAAATATCAAAAATCCCATAAATCACCCAAAATTCCCAAATTTCCCATACAAATTTCCCATGGACCCATACGGGCCCATACTGGCTTATCCCAGTCCATACTGGTTTATACTGGTCCGTACTGGTCCAAACTGGTCCGTACTGGTCCGTACTGGTCCATAGTGGTTTATAATGAGCTATACTGGTCTGTATTTTAGGGTCTTCTATGGGATTTTTATGGGATTTTGGGGTCATTTATGGGATTTATGGGACCTGGACCTGCGGGGACAGCATCGTCCACAGACCACAGGATAGGTTTGGGGTCATTTGTGGGGTTTTTTGGGGGTTTTGGGGTAGTTTATGGGATTTTTGGGTTTTCCTGGACTTGGGGAATCGGGACAATTTCTGGGGTGAAATTTTATGATTTAGGGAGAATTTGGTGGGGATTTGTGTGGGATTTTCAGGATTTATGGGATTTGGGTGGAATTTGAGGTGGGAATTTTGGGATTATTTAGGGGATTTATGAGATTATTTATGGGATTTATGGGATCTGGTCGACCTGGGGAATTTGGACAATTCCGGGCTTGGATTTTTGTGATTTGGGGAGAATTTGGTGAGGATTTGTGTGGGATTTTTGGGATTTTTTTGCGATTTGGATGGAATTTGGGGTGGGATTGTTGGGATTTTTGGGATTTTCGTGATGCTGATCCCGTTTTTTTTATTTTTGGGGCCAGTTGGTGGCACCGGGGCGAGCCCAACGGGGGCAACCTGGAGAACTGCGCGGCCGTGGGGCCCGACGGGCTCTGGGCCGATTATCCCTGCGGGACCCCCCTGACCTGGGTGTGTGAGAGACCCCTCTGACCTAAAATCCCGGGAATTCACCCCAAAATCCCGGGAATCTGCCCTAAAATCCTGAGAATTGGGGAAAAATAACAATAAATGTGTGTGTGTACTGGGATTGAACTGGGAGTTGTGGGATCATCCCTGTGAGGGACCCACCTGACGCAATCCTGGGAATTTACCCCAAAATCCCCAGAATTCACCCCAAAATCCCCAGAATTCACCCCAAAATCCCCGGAATTCACCCCCAAATCCCGGGAATTTGGGAAAAAATAGCAATAAAAGTGTGTGTGTACTGAGACTGAACTGGGATTGGACTGGGAGCTGTGGGATCATCCCTGTGAGGGACCCCCCGATCCAAAATCCTAGGAATTTACCCCAAAATCCCCGGATTTCACCCCAAAATCCTGGGAATTCACCCCAAAATCCCAGGAAAATTCTGGAAATTGGGGAAATAAACTCGTGTGTGTACTGGGATTGAACTGGGATCATACTGGGAGGGACTGGGATCATCCCTGCGGGACCCCCCTGACCTGGGTCTGCGAGGGACTCCTCTGACCCCAAATCCTGGGAATTCACCCCAAAATCCCCAGAATTCACCCCAAAATCCCCGGAATTCACCCCCAAATCCCGGGAATTTGGGAAAAAATAGCAATAAAAGTGTGTGTGTACTGAGACTGAACTGGGATTGGACTGGGAGCTGTGGGATCATCCCTGTGAGGGACCCCCCTGACTCCAAATTCTGGGAATTCAACCCAAAATCCCCAGAATTTACCCCAAAATCCATGGAATTCACCCCAAAGTCCCAGGAATATTCTGGAAATTGGGGAAATAAACTCGTGTGTGTGCTGGGATTGAACTGGGATCATACTGGGAGGGATTGGGATCATCCCTGTGGGACCCCCCGGATCTGCGTGTGTGAGAGACCCCTCTGACCCCAAAATCCTGGGAATTCACCCCAAAATCCTTGGAATTCACCCCCAAATCCCGGGAATTTGGGAAAAAATAGCAATAAAAGTGTGTGTGTCCTGGGATCATACTGGGATTGGACTGGGAGCTGTGGGATCATCCCTGTGAGGGACTGCCCTGACCCAAAATCCTGAGAATTCACCCCAAAATCCCCAGAATTCACCCCAAAATCCCCGGAATTCACCCCCAAATCCCGGGAATTTGGGAAAAAATAGCAATAAAAGTGTGTGTGTACTGAGACTGAACTGGGATTGGACTGGGAGCTGTGGGATCATCCCTGTGAGGGACCCCCCTGACTCCAAATTCTGGGAATTCAACCCAAAATCCCCAGAATTTACCCCAAAATCCATGGAATTCACCCCAAAGTCCCAGGAATATTCTGGAAATTGGGGAAATAAACTCGTGTGTGTGCTGGGATTGAACTGGGATCATACTGGGAGGGACTGGGATCATCCCTGCGGGACCCCCCTGACCTGGGTCTGCGAGGGACCCCTCTGACCCAAAATCCTGGGAATTCACCCCAAAATCCCGGGAATTTGGGAAAAAATAGCAATAAATGTGTGCGTGTACTGGGACTGAACTGGGATTGAACTGGGAGCTGTGGGATCATCCCTGTGAGGGACCCCCCTGACCCAAAATCCTGAGAATTCACCCCAAAATCCCCAGAATTTTCTGGAAATTGAGGAAATAAACTCTTGTGTGTGTACTGGGATTGATCCCATAATCCCCAAAACCCCATAATCCCCGAAATCCTGGAATTCCCTTTCAAAATCCCAGATTTCCCCTTCCAAATCCAGGAATGCCCTTCCCAAAATCCCAGAATTCCCCAAACCCCACAATCCCCCAAATCCCGTAATTCCCAAATCCCATAAATCCCAAAATCCCAGAATCCCCAAAATCCCGAATTCCCCAAATCCTGTAATCCCCAAAATCCCAGAACTCCCTTCCCATAATCCTGAAATTCCCAAAATCCCCCAAATTTCAAAACTCCCCAAATCCCAGAACTCCCAAAATCCTGAAATCCCCCTTACCAAAATTTTGGAATTCCCCAAATGCTGTAATCCCCCAAATCCTGGAATTCCCAAATCCCGCAATCCCCCAATCCCCCAAATTTCAAAATCCCAAATCCCGTAAATCCCCAAATCCCGTAAATCCCCAAATCCCATAATCCCCCAAATCCCACAATCTCGAAACCCCCAAATCCCACAATTCCCAAAAGCCCATAATCCCCCAAATCCCACAATTCCCAAATCCCGCAAATCCTGCAATTCCCAAAATCCCAGAATCCCCCAAATCCTGGAATTCCTTTCCCATAATCCTGAAATTCCCAAAATCCCCAAATCCTGGAAGCCCCAAAATCCCGTAATTCCTAAAACCCCATAATCCTCAAAATCCCATAATTCCCAAAATCCTGGAATTCCCCCAAATCCCACAATCCCCCAAATCCTGGAATTCCCTTCCCATAATCCTGACATTCCCAAAATCCCATAAATCTCGCAATTCCCGAAATCCCACAATTCCCAAAATCCAGTAAATCCCAAAATCCCAGAAATCCCGTAAATCCCAAAATCCCCGAAATCCTGCAATTCCCAAAATCCCATAATCCCCAAAATCCCCTTCCCAAAATCCTGTAAATCCCCCAAATCCCACAATCCCCAAAATCCTGTAATTCCCAAACCCATGAAGTCCCAAAATTCCCATAATTCCCAAAATACCAAAATCCTGGAAGCCCCAAAATCCCATAATTCCTAAAACCCCATAATCCTCAAAATCCCATAATTCCCAAAATCCTGGAATTCCCTTCCCATAATCCTGACATTCCCGAAGTCCCATAAATCCCGCAATTCCCAAAATCCCGTCAATCCCAGCCCCTCCGGGCTCTGGCTCCAGCCGCGCTCTCCGGCCGTGACCTTTGCCCCTTGGCCGGGCGTTCCCGGCCTTTTCCCGGAATTTTTTTTGGGGTCAATTCCCGTCAAAATCCCGTCAAGTTCCCGCTGCCCTGGAGCCGAGCCCGGTTTATTGGCTCAGAAATTATCGGGATTATTTGGGGATGTTCTTGGGGACATCCTTGGGGACATCCTTGGGGACATCCTCGGGGACATCGGGGGTGGCCCCGAAATCAGCAATAATCGGAAAAATCCTCGTCGACGTAATTGGCGGGAAACCAACCAACCTGGGGACAGGGACAGCGGGTCAGGGGACACCGGGGGGACAGGGGGACACCTGGGGGGACACCTGGGGGGACATGGGGACACCTGGGGGGACACCGGGGGACCCTGGGGACACCTGGGGGGACACCTGAGGGGACACCTGGGGGGACACCTGGGGGGGTCCCCAGTGTCCCCAATGTCCCCAGTGTCCCCAATGCCCCCAGTGTCCCCAATGTCCCCAGTGTCCCTGATGTCCCTGATGTCCCCAGCGTCCCCACTGTCCCCAGTGTCCCCAGTGTCCCCAATGTCCCCAGCATCCCCACTGTCCCCGGTGTCCCCAGTGTCCCCAGGGTGGGGACAGTGCCATACCCGTCCGTAGATCTCGCCCTTCCACCAGCCGGGCTGTCCCCTCTTGCTGAGGACACGCACGATGTCCCCTTCCCGCAGTGACAGCTCCGTCCTGTCCCGCGCGCTGAAGGCGTAACGGGCCTTGGCCGAGCCGAAACTGCGCGTGGCACCTGGGGACACAGGGGACAGAGGGGACACTGTGACAGGGGACACGGGGACACCCCAAATCCAGCCCTAAATACAGCCAGACTGCGGGTGGCACCAGGGGACACAGGGGACACGGTGACAGGGACACAGGGGACGCGGGGACACCCCAAATCCAGCCCTAAATAGAGCTGGAACTGCGGGTGGCACCTGGGGACACAGGGGACAGAGGGGACACTGCGACAGGGGACACGGGGACACCCCAAATCCAGCCCCAAATCCAACCCCAAAGAGAGCCAAAGCCTGGGGACAGAGGGGACACGGTGACACCCCCAAATCTAACCCCACCCAATCCTCCCTTGGGGCCACCCCATAACCCCAAGGAACCCCAAAATCCCCCCTCAACAAGGCCACCCCATAACCCCAAGGAACCCCAAAATCCCCCCTCAAGGCCACCCCATTACCCTAAGGAACCCCAAAATCCTCCTCAGGGTGACCCCATAACCCCAAGGAACTCCAAAATCCTCCTCAGGGTCACCCCATAACCCCGAGGAACCCCAAATCCCTCCTCAAGGTCACCCCAGAACCGTCAGGACGTCTCAAATCACTCTGGGGTCACCCCTTAACCCCAAGGAACCCCAAATCCTTCACCAAATCCCCCTCAAGGCGACCCCATAACCCCAAGGAACCCCAAATCCCCCCTCAAGGTGACCCCATAATCCCAAGGAACCCCAAAATTCCCCTCAAGGTCACTCCATAACCCCAAGGAACCCCAAATCCC